ACTCTCCAAAGAAGATGTAGAAATAACATTCTAGGAATAAAAGGCAACGATGGAAGATGGATTAGAAAATCCGAGGCTATTGATAATCACTTCTATTTTTTTTTCCATGATCTTTTTACTAGTAATGGAGATGATAGTAGGAGTGAGATCTTAAACAACATCACTACTTGTCTCACAGAAGAAGAAAGTATGTTGTTGGATCAACAAGCCACAAATAAAGAACTTTTGGAAGCACTCAATTAGATGCCTCCATCCAAAGCTCTAGGGTCGAATGGCCTCCCAAATTTCTTTCTTCAAAAGTATTGGAAGATTGTAGGCAAAGATGTCTTAGAGGCAATTCATGAATTTTTCAAATCAAGTACGATGCTTAAGGAACTCAATAATACCCTCATCACCCTCATCCCAAAAGTACAAAGTCCTCAGGTGGCTTCACAATTCAGACCCATCAACCTTTGTAATACCCCTTATAAGATTATAGCCAAGGTTTTGGATAATAGACTTAAGGGGGTAATCAACAAACTCATCAATCAAAATCAAAGTGCCTTCATTTCGGGTAGACAAATTAATGACAACATTCTACTGAACAATGAAACTTTGCATACAATGAAGAAATCTAAATCCAAATGTAGGTACATGGCCCTCAAGCTAGACATGATGAAAGGTTATGATAGATTAGAATGGTCTTTTCTTGAGGCATTGATTGGTGAAGATGGGGTTTGGTAGCAAGTGGAGAAACTAGGTTATGCAATGTGTAAGTAATGTGTCTTATAGAGTACTCATCAATGGCTCACCCAGTAAAGTAATTCAGCCCTCTAGAGGTCTAAGACAAGGTGACCCGCTTTCCCCTATCTTTTCTTGCTGATTTTAGAAGTTCTCTTTGCCTCTCTAGCGGTTAAAGCCAGAAACAATGAGGTCTTTGGCTTTAAGCTCAACCGCAATGCACCAACTCTTGCCCACCTCTTCTTTGCGGATTTGAATGAAGTTCATGAAATCCCGAATGTGCTAGAGTTGTATGAAAAGGCTGCAGGCCAGAAGGTAAACCTCTAGAAATCTGAGGTCTTATTTAGTATGAACACCCTTGAAAGGTTCTAGAGATTACTGGCTCAAAGCCTTGGCATGAAATGTGTTGAGCATCCTGTCTTCTACCTTGGTCTCCCCTTTGAAGTTCAAAGATCGAGGAGGAAAACTTTCGGCTTCATCACTGATAGAGTTACAAAGAGGTTACAAGGTTGGAAAAATCAAAATCTGTCACCTGTAGGAAAAGAAGTTCTAATTAAATATGTTATGTCAGCCCTCCCAGTTTATTCAATGTCTTGCTTTCTATTCCCGCAATCAATTTGCAACCTTTTATTGGGGTGATTCAGCTCAAAGAAAAAAGATTCATTGGGTCCGGCATAACCTTTGTGTTGGAATAACTGCTCTCAAGGCTAAATATTTTCCAAGTGTTTGGTTAGATCCTTGGATCCCCTCTATTAGAAACTATAGCATACCAATCTCCAAGCCTGAGAACTTCTCTCTAAATTGGGTGAGTGAGCTTATTGATCAGAGTTCAAATTCTTGAAAAACTCAAACTGTTAGAGACCTCTTTCCTGAAGTGGTGTCATAAAAAATCTTAAAAATATATATCCCCTTCAGATGACCATCAAGATAGGTATTGATAGACCCTTACCAAATATAGAGATTTCTCTGTTAAAAGTGCCTATTGGCTAGCAAGATCCTCTAAGAATGACTCAACTTTAGATACCAAAGAGGTTGATTCGATTGACACAAAGCTTTGGAAGCTTGTTTGGAAATCTCATCTCTACCCAAAGATTAAGTCTTTCATGTGGAAAGCTCTTAATAATGGGATCCCAGTAAGAAGTATACTGGCAAAAAGGGTCCATATTGCATATTGAACTGTCCCCTTTGCCATCGCTGCCCTGAAACTATTGAGCATGTCCTCCTCTTTTGCTTGAGTACAGAACAATCTAGTTTGATTTAGGATAAATCTTCGATTGGATCCTAACCATCACTCCGCCTTCAAACAATGGATTCTCTCTTGGATCTTGAACAGTTCTCTTTCAAAATCATAATTATAGTCATTCTTTAATATATTAATTAGTGGCTATTTGCTGGTGCATCTGGTTGAGAAGAAATAAACTGATTTTTTGATGAGTCTCTTGATTACCCCTTGCTCATCCTCTCTCATGTTGATTACCCCTAGTGGTAGATTCGTAGTAGCAGCAGCCGCCTTGGGAGAAGTGCCTTGGTCTGCTCTTTTCTCTTAAGCGAGAGCTATCCTTCATAGTATAAAGCTAGCTAAGCATTTAAAGTTCGACAGAATTCAGATTTTTTGTGATTGTTTGACTATAATTAATATCTTGAAGATCAACTCTTTTGAAATGGACAGTGAGATCTAAGAGATGCAACAAACTTTTAGACCTGTTCTCTTTGTAACAGAAACTCTGTTGGTGGTGATAAACTGTGATTAGGGCTGCAACTTGGTTAGGCTTGGGTTAAGCATTTGTTAAATTTTGAATGGCCTTGGCCTGAGGTTCTAAGCCCAATACTTGTAAATGTTTCTTTGTAGACGCCATAAAGGGCCTAGTACTTAATTTTTTTAATGAAAATTCGTTTTACATCTGGAAATTGGTCAAAACCTCTAGGTGCCTTTTTTTCTCTATTTTATCTTTGGCTAGTTTAAAATAGAGTCAAAACAACTTAATAAACCAAATACAACTAAGAAAAGACTCAGAACACATTCAAAGGCCCATTTTCAGTTGTTACCAAATAGCCCCTTTCATTAAACCCATATTATACCATTTTGAATTGCAAATTAATGTTTTGTGATGCCCTTTCAAGCAAGGTTTTAAAAATTGGACCATAATGGTCTGACCGTTTGGATCAAATGGACAGTTTATTTTGATTTTAAAAAATAAAAAAATATTAAAAATAAAAAACAGCAAAAAATTATTTTTTGGATCGATAGTTCGATCGTGCAGATCAATTAATCACTGACCAAATCAATGGTTTTTGGCCCAAGAACTTAACCGATTGCTTGTCCAATTCGAAGGTCAACTAGTCCAACCGTCCTGTCCCACCCGATTTTCAAAACCATGCTTTTAAGTTATATCCCTTTTCGCCTAAAGCCATGTCATCAACACCTAAAAAATCTATCAAACCAAACATAGCCTTAAGTAGAATAAAAAATAAAAAAATGCAGATGGGCAGTAATTTGCGGAAATTTATAAATCAATCCAATTTGATAATCTTAATAGTTAATACCAAATACATACATTGGAAAGGAGAATTTCACTCAGCTGTAGAATTTCTTGCAACAATGCTACTGTTGTTCCTCTCCAATTTCTTCCAGCACTGGTGTTTCCAACACTGGCACTGTGCCTTCTTTTTCCCACCCAACAACCCTCCCTCTTCTTTATCTTCTCCCTCTCCAATCTGCCCCACACCATCACTTGTCACCGCCGATACTGACCTCACAAACTCCTTCACCGTCGCCGGATTGCTAGGCAACGACTCCGCCGGTGAAGACAGCCCTCCTCTCATTCGCTTCTCCTTACTCTGAATCCACAACTCTCTCATCCTCTCCCGAATATCACACGTCTGTTCTTCGTGCGGCCCTTCGCAAAACCCGCACTTAGACAGCGTCACGTTCTTCTTGTTTCGTGCAGCCCTGATGCTTTGCGCCTGTTCCCACGTTAAGGCGAGTCTGAACGCATCGCTCAGCGAGTTGGGTTTCTGGGGAACAATCCAGTCCTGGAAATCTTCTCTCAGCCCGTCGATGAATATCCCTCTCAGTAGCCCGTCGGGAATGCCGTGGTCTGGCCACCTCCTCAGTATCCACAGCATTCTAAGATAGTAAGCTTGGACTGATTCTCCGTCGCCTTGCCTTAACTTCATTAACTCCGATCGGAATTGGTCGACGAACTCTGTTCTACGGTAGGCCTGGGTGAAGGCAACCTTGATTTCCTCCCAACTGAGAGACGGGTTCGGCTCGATATTGAGATCGTACCAAAGAGCAGCCTCGTTGTCGAGGGTAACAGGGAAGATTTTCATCATCATGTCGATGGACCACGCATTGTTTGCACGGCAGACCTTCGCGAACCGGCTTAAATGGGTGACGGGGCACTCTTCGGGAGTTCCTCGGAAGATCGGAAGAGGGGCAATGTTTACGTAGGCAGTGGTGGAGGTTGTGGCTTGTTTGAGATTGGGCGAATTGATGGATAAGTTCAGGGAGGCTGCCGATTGATCAACAGCGCTGCTTTCAGTAATGAACTCGGACTCAGAGTCGTACTCAGGGGGAACAAACCGGTTTCTGGGTGTACCAGTTACAGAATCCGATTGACTATATATTGTGTTTTGATCATCTTGGTCATCATCGTCGACGTCGTGTTGGTAAGGGTATGAGGATTCGGATCGGGAGGCTTCGGTTTCATAGCTTTCATGGGTAGTCGTGCCATGATGAGGGGGAATTCTCCGGCGATGCTTGCATCTGGGTATCTCCATCGCCGATGAGGAAGCAGAGATGGCCGACGACAAAGACGAGACTCTGATTCTGTGAGTCATCTTCTGTGGTTTTGCTGTGACTGCAAAACATAACTCCACGATGGAAATTTAAAGAACGAACTAAACGACGCAATACGACCGTTACGAGGTTCGGAGGGTTGTGTATGTTTGAAAGGATACACCCATTGGGCCCATCGCTCGTCCTCTTTTAGTGGGAGCCCACTTCTCTTGGTTCATCGGACGGCTAATCTACCATCATGATCGTTCAATTTTAACCTCATTTCAGTGAGTCATCTTCAATTAATTTTTTGAACTGGACCAACTAAGAATTTATCCAATACATACTTGAAACAACCAAATTGGATTCGATTTCACAAAAAATTTATGTTACATTAATGGGTTTTTTTCCACACAAAAAATACAAAAAAAAAGGAAAATCAAACAAAAAACAAAAAAAATCAATAAATCCAAGATAGGCCATTATATAAATATATATTTTTTGATAATAACTTTCTAGTTTCCCTTTGACCCCTTTTGATTCGACTCGGCATCAACGCTTGAACAAACCAGCCAACACACCAACGAGCCAGCCCTCGGTTGGTCATTATATAAATATGATGTATAGCATTAGCATCTTGATATGGATGGATGGATGGATGGGTGATGGTCACATGATAGAGCAAGCATTAGGGTTCTCGTCACTAAACACTGCACCAGTTCTTTCATCAATGATGGTGGAGTATGGAGGGGGTTGATAGTAGCCATGGTCATGGCCATCATAGCCATGCTTTCTGTAGTTGTAGGAGGATGATTGGGAGGCATAATATGTGTACGGATAGCTGTGATAATGGTGTTGGTTGTAGTAGTACTGTTGGGTGTAGCTATGGTACTCCGGGTTGTAAGGATACGGCCACAGCTCGGCCCTCCTCCCCGTCTTCCTCACCGCCTTCAGAACCTTCTTCTGCTCTGCCCATCCTGTTACAGTCACCTTCTGCATGGCTATGTCTATGTCGACTTCATCCACTCCTGATACAACATATGAGAAATACTTTAGTTCAAGTCTTTAAGAACAACCAAACAAGGGAGGATCTCTATGTATAGCTGTGCTGCATAGTGCATACCTTGTATCTTTTGAAGAGCCTTCTTGATCTTGCTCTCACAGCCAGCACAGTCCATATGAACTCTTATCTCTACAACCTGAAAATCCAAACAGTAGAGCTTAGTATTTCATTCATATGTGCCCATGGTGATGATGATGATGATGGTAATGCATGGGTCATGTCATCATGGGAAAAGTGTGTCTGATCAGAAGTCTTCTTTGTTTCAATCCCGAAAGAAAAAGAAAAAAGTTTGTTGGGATCATTTGGTATATCCAACCTGCCCAGCAGGCTTGTTCAAAACATTTTACTACTACAGAAGTAAACGTATGGAATAAACTTTTAACACTGAGAAACAGTGGACACCAAACAGACCAAGAAGGAAAGACGTGCACAAACAAAGACCTGTATAAATTTAGCTTTGAAGTAACATCCTACTAATGAAGGTTGATTGATGCAGTAAACCAGAGAGAGAGAGAGAGGCTAACCGTCATTTTGGGTGTTGAGAAAGCTAGAAATCTTTGTTGGCCGTAAGGTATTCTGAGTTGCAGTCTTGCAATAGTAGAAGAACTGAAGAAGAATGGTGCGTTGGAATAATGAGGGCTGGAGCCTCTCATATATATTTATAGAGAGAGAGAGAGAGAGGAAAAGTAGCTTTACTTGGGAGGGAGGGATAACTGATAAGAAGGAATTACTTTATTTTATGGAATTGCACCGACTTTTTGCCTTTAGCTTTGCTTCTGGCGAGACAGGTCCTCAAGGAAACTGAAAAGAAAGCGCGTGGCCTCGTGGGGGTGGACCGGTGGAGCCCCAAGGGTTCCACAGCAGCCTCCCTTTTGTGGCGGGTAGAAAATTCCCTTTTTCAAGGCCACTAAGGAGCTTCCACCTGTGCAGTGTAACCAATAGAAGTCTGCCACGTTATAGTAGGCGCCTTTTCCTTTTGTTAACCGTTTCTCTCAACGACAAGTGGACAACATAGAAAGAAGAAATGAGCAATGTTTCGTTGAGGGCGGGGGGAGAAAAAGGTGGAAGACAGTTGGGCAATAGACCGTTGGAGAGTATGGAGACAGGTGGGTGTGAGTTTGAATCGAATTTGAATCCTCTACAGTTGTATAATTCGTAATACTGAGCCAATTACTATATGCCACATCATCATCTCAATAGTATAGGTCCCACATCTCAGGCTGATGTGGCGTGTCATATTCCTCAGAGGATCCGAATCGGGTTGATGTTGGGAAATTTACATGAAGGTCACTCGGTTTTGGGATCGCTTGTACAGAATTATGGAAAATTAATTCACTGACATAAGCAACGTACTTATCTGTCCTCCGCTCCCACAAAGAAAAAACCCATTCAATATATATATATATATATTCAAAATTTCAAACTTTAGCCCGGTTAAATTAATACGTTTTGTAAAGAGAAAGGAAAGTTAAAGGACTCAATGACCATATATTTCGGCAGCAATTATTGACCCGACCCACTACCAGACTGAATGCCGTTAGCCGTTCTGAATTTCGGTTGGCAAATGGGAGCTGGATCAATTAGTCGGACTCGGATCAGATTCGGACTTATTCACATCCGACTTATTTGTGTTTAAAATAACAAAAAGAGTTTAATACTTCATTGCTTTTATTTATTATTTAATAGTTAGGTCATTTCTTGTTTTATCATAAGTACGGGATAACTAAATGTGTGTATAATTTAGTTTGAAGTTTATTATTCAGTTATCAAAAATTAAATTAAAAAAAAAAATTGGGTCTTTCATCTTTGTAATTGGCAATCTATTCTGACTTATTTTATTTGAAACCCACTATTAATTTAAGTTTTTTTTTAATTTGATTTAAGATATTAAATAAGATCTTATTGGTAAATAATAACCCACTTTATTTGCTATTTACTATTTATCTAATAAATCTATTTTGAGTTATTTCTTTTTAAAAGTTAAATTAGGTTGGTTACTAAAAGTTAAATCAAGTTTGTAATTAATAAAGTATTTCCTTTATTAATAACGATTGTAATTCTAACTATTAATGAGTATTGACAATGATTGTAAACTTCAAACTAAATTAAGAAATAATATATTCTTATTATGTATGTACTTAATTTGTGTATATTAATTAAATAATTTGTTATAATTAATTTCTTTGGTTAATTAATGAAATAATAATTGCTTTTATAAAAATAGTATTAATTATAATAATAGCATTAATTATAATTACTTATAATAATAATGTAAATAATTAACACTAATTATATATTTATAAAAAAATTAATATGAATTAATATAAATATAAAATGATTATATCCCAATTAATAATTGACATTATTAAAATACTTATTAATTATCATTAATTAATTAACATTCTAAAGTAATAATTATCATTATTATAAATAAGGAATAAATTATCAATAAGTAATTAATTTTTATCATAAATCATTATTATTACTAATAATTAATTATAATTATTGATAATAATAATATAATTAGTTATTTCGTATAACTGTATGAATTATGATTTCTAATAATAATTCTAATGTAAATAATTAAGATTAAATATTTATTTTCAAAATAATTAATATGAGTTAATATAAATATAAATGATTATTTCCGAATTATTAATTACCATTATGAAAATCATTATTAATTATCATTCTGAAATAATGGTCAATATTATCAGTAATAAATTAATATCAGCAATTAAGTATTAGTAGTAATTATTATCAGTAATTGGTTATTATCAGTTGATGAGGGGTAAGTTGGCCCGACCTCGCAACCGAGGTACACATGGACGCGATTAGCCACTAGGATGGCAACTTAGCAAGGGAGCCTCGCCAACAGCTCGGGAGCTCGGGATCTTGAGCACCTTGCCATAAAGGCACCTCGGTACCTAATCCAGTTCGGAGCCAAAGAATTGAGGTGCAAGTTCGGGGCCAAAGAACCGAAGCACCACATAATCGACTCTAGGAGCTTCTCCAACGGATTCCGAATTCCTCGGGATCACGACGTTTATTAACAAGACTCATCCTCACTCCGTCCGAATTGGAGGGAATTGATAAACCTTATCATCTAGCGCATTGCTCTCCTTCGGAAATGGAACTGATCTTATCTACGCAGCCCAGAGATCCCGGAGCCTTTTCGTAAGATTCATAACTACACAACTATATAAGGGCATCAATCCTCAAAGTGAAGGTACGCGCGATTATTTGCTCACCAGCACTCTAGCATTCAAGTATTCAGCTCGCATCCATAATATAGTACTGACTTAAGCATCGAAGTGACCTCGCCGGGTTAGCCACCCTGAGTTCTCTTATCTATTATCTTGCAGCTTGGTCCATCTTGCCACGCGACTGGCGTTCAAATCATCTTCCAACTAGGAGTATCCAAATCACGCACTATCAATTGGTGCCGTCTATGGGAACCGATCAAAAGGTCACCCCAATTTCAGTTGCAGTTCTAGCTTTCAATTTATTTCAATGGATTCTTCCAGCAACACCGGGAAAAGCATCGAGATGAACGTCACCAGGAGGCAAGATCAGCAATCAACCTTCCCCTAAGGTCCCACGGTCTGTGCCGAGGTACCCACCTCGGCCCTAGCAGACTCACCGCTCCCATCTAGAAGGCAATCTAAACTAAGGCCAGACATAATGAACAAAAAGGGAACCAGCGAACTTGAAGTAAAAAGGGGCGGAACAAGGCGAACTCACCAAAAGACGAAAGAGGAAGCGAACTACTCCGGATACAAGAGGCGAGCTGGAGAACGGATGCGCGACCTCAACTCTCGAATGCACTTTGAAGGATGAAGAAAAGGGGACCTGGGTCCCCCCTATTTATAGCCACCATTTCCAGGAAATGATGGTTTAAATCAATGCGATCCTACGGTTCTCGTGAAAACCGGCCACACTCCCTTCGAGGAGAGATTTCGGTTGAGCGCGGTTTTTGGCGTTCGTGGAGTTTATAAATCACATCGAGTCCACGCGTCCTTGACACGCAATCTGGTTTTTTTCCACTGAGCCACATGGGTTACACCGGTCCGACCAAAAAACTGGGAGGTGAACCAAGAAGAAATCAGGCCAACCTACTTGCACTGACCATGAACTCCCCACACCGGGGTTGCGACCCTTGGTACGGGGAGTGGGGGGCAATTGATGGGGGGTAAGTTAGCCCAACCTAGCAACCGAAGTACACGTGGATGCGATCAGCCATTAGGATGACAACTCAGCAAGGGAGCCTCGCCAGCAACTCGGGAGCTCGGGGTCTTGAGCACCTCGGTACCTAATCCAATTCGGAGCCAAAGAATTGAGGTGCAAGTTTGGGGCCAAAGAACCGAAGCACCACGTAATCGACTCTAGGAGCTTCTCCAACAGACTTCGAATTCCTTGGGATCACGGCGTTTATTAACAAGAGTCATCCTCACTCCGCCCGAATCGGAGGGAATTGATAAACCTTATCAACTAGCGCATTGCTCTCCTTCGGAAATGGAATGGATCTTATCTACGCAGCCTGGAGATCCTGGAGCCTTTTTGTAAGATTCACGACTACTCAACTATATAAGGGCATCAATCCTCAAAGCGAAGGTACGCGCGATTATTTTCTCACAAGCACTCTAGCATTCAAGTATTCAGCTCGCATCCATAATATAGTACTAACTTAAGCATCGGAGCGACCTCCCCGAGTTCTCTGATCAATTATCTTGCAGCTTGGTCCAACTCGCCATGCGACTAGCGTTCAAATCATCTTCCAGCTAGGAGTATCCAGATCGCGCACTATCATCAGTGAGTTATTATTATTAGTAATTAATAGCTAGAATTAATTAATTAGAAGTCATTAGTTATTATTAGTACCCCTCTGTTTCAAAAAGTTGACTCATCATCATTGTCATCATCAATGACAACAACTTGATAAATACATAATTTGATAAAAATAGGTAAATATCATTAATTTATTTTCTAATCTTTTGGAAAATTGAATAAGAGAAAAATAAAATGGTTAGCATTGCAAATGAAAAATTATTTGGATTTTTGCAAAAAAAATTATTGAACATAAAAAACCAATTATTCAAAATAAGTTTGTTAACCAAAGAGTAATTAAAATTATTCAATAAATAATAATTTTAAGAAATTAACATTAATAATTAATTATCTATCCGAATTAAAATGGGTAATTTTATCAAATAATTTTAAGTAATTAAATTTTGCTATTAACATTTTTAATAATAATCAGTATTATTAATAAATTAATAATATATTCTTATTATGTGTGTATTGATTTTGAAACCAATAATATTAAAGTACTACTACTACTACTACTACTATCATTATTATGATTATTATTATTAAGTAATTAATTTGTTATAATTATGATTTTTAGTTAATTCAAGAAATAATAATTTCTTTTATAATTCTTTTAGTTTAACAATATTGAATAATTGAAAGTTTTATAATTTAACTTTCACTAAATGAAATATTTATTGGAGAATAATAATAGTATTTATTATAATAATATTGTTAATTATAATTACTTATAATAATAATAACAATAATGTAAATAATTAATACTAATTATATATATGAAATAATT